GTTTTTTTTCCGCCGGGTCACGTGGCTGCGCTTGTCTGGGTCTATTGCCAAGCCAGCAAGGGCGTGGGAGGGTTGCGAGCGTCATCGGTCATCGGTGCTCGTGAATGAAGAGCGCCCGCTGCACTTCTTGCACATGTGCGGATCCGTCCGCGTTTTGGGGCTGTAAGCGCTCGTTCCGAGCGTTTTTAATCCGCCGGGTCACGTTGTTGTGCTTCTCTGGGCCAATTGCCAAGCCAGCAAGGGCGTGGGAGGTTTGCGAGCGTCATCGGTCATCGGCGCTCGCGAATGAAGAGCGCCCGCTGCACTTCCTGCACATGTGCGGATCCGTCCGCGTTTTGGGGCTGTAAGCGCTCGTTCCGAGCGTTTTTAATCCGCCGGGTCACGTTGTTGTGCTTGTCTGGGCCTATTACCAAGCCAGCAAGGGCGTGGGAGGGATGCGAGCGTCATCGGTCATCGGCGCTCGCGAATGAAGAGCGCCCGCTGCACTTCCTGCACATGTGCGGATCCGTCCGCGTTCTGGGGCTGGAAGCACTCGTTCATAGCGTTTTTCTACCGCCGGGTCACGTGGCTGCGCTTGTCTGGGCCTATTGCCAAGCCAGCAAGGGCGTGGGAGGGTTGCGAGCGTCATCGGTCATCGGCGCCCGCTGCACTTCCTGCATATGTGCGGATCCGTCTGCGTTTTGGGGCTGGAAGCGCTCGTTCCGAGTGTTTTTCTTCCGCCGGGTCACGTGGCTGCGCTTGTCTGAACCTATTACCAAGCCAGCAAGGGCGTGGGAGGGTTGCAAGCGTCATCGGTAATCGGCGCTCGCGAATAAAGAGCGCCTCTGCACTTCCTGCACATGTGCGGATCCTTCCGCGTTTTGGGGGTGGAAGCGCTCGTTCCGAGCGTTTTTCTTCCGCCGGGTCACGTGGCTGCGCTTGTCTGGGCCTATTGCCAAGCCAACAAGGGCGTGGGAGGGTTGCGAGCGTCATCGGTCATCGGCGCTCGCGAATGAAGAGCGCCCGCTGCACTTCCTGCACATGTGCGGATCCTTCGGCGTTTTGGGGGTGCGCTCGTTCCGAGCGTTTTTCATCCGCCGGGTCACGTGGCTGCGCTTCTTCGGGTCTATTGCCAAGCCAACAAGGGCGTGGGAGGGTTGCGAGCGTCATCGGTCATGGGCGCTCGCGAATGAAGAGCGCCCGCTGCACTTCCTGCACATGTGCGGATCCTTCAGCGTTTTGGGGCTGGAAGCGCTCGTTCCGAGCGTTTTTCTTCCGTCGGGTCACGTGGCTGCGCTTGTCTGGGCCTATTACCAAGCGAGCGAGGGCGTGGGAGGGTTGCCAGCATCATCGGTCATCCGCGCTCGCGAATGAAGAGCGCCCGCTGCACTTCCTGCACATGTGCGGATCCTTCCGCGTTTTGGGGCTGGAAGCGCTCGTTCCGAGCGTTTTTCTTCCGCCGCGTCACGTGGCTGCGCTTGTCTGGGCCTATTACCAAGCCAGCAAGGGCGTGGGAGGGTTGCGAGCGTCATCGGTCATCGGCGCCCGCTGCACTTCCTGCTATGTACGGATCCGTCTGCGTTTTGGGGTTGGAAGCGCTCGTTCCGAGCGTTTTACTTCCGCCGGGTCACGTGGCTGCACTTCTCTGGGCCTATTGCCAAGCAAGCAAGGGCGTGGGAGGGTTGCGAGCGTCATCGGTCATCGGCGCTCGTGAGTGAAGAGCGCCCGCTGCACTTCCTGCACATGTGCGGATCCGTCCGCGTTTTGGGGCTGGAAGCGCTCGTTCCGAGCGTTTTTCATCCGCCGGGTCACGTTGTTGCGCTTGTCTGGGCCTATTGTTAAGCCAGCAAGGGCGTGGGAGGGTTGCGAGCGTCATCGGTCATCGGCGCTCGCGAATGAAGAGCGCCTGCTGCACTTCCTGCACATGTGCGGATCCGTCCGCGTTTTGGGGCTGGAAGCGCTCGTTCCAAGCGTTTTTCTTCTGCCGGATCACGTGGCTGCGCTTGTCTGGGCCTATTGCCAAGCCAGCAAGGGCGTGGGAGGGATGCGAGCGTCATCGATCATCGGCGCTCGCGAATGAAGAGCGCTCGCTGCACTTCCTGCACATGTGCGGATCCGTCCGCGTTTTGGGGCTGGGAGCGCTCGTTCATAGCGTTTTTCTACCGTCGGGTCACGTGGCTGCGCTTGTCTGGGCCTATTACCAAGCCAGCAAGGGCGTGGGAGGGTTGCGAGCGTCATCGGTCATCGGCGCCCGCTGCACTTCCTGCTATGTACGGATCTGTCTGCGTTTTGGGGATGGAAGCGCTCGTTCCGAGCGTTTTTCTTCCGCCGGGTCACGTGGCTGCGCTTGTCTGAACTTATTACCAAGCCAGCAAGGGCGTGGGAGGGTTGCAAGCGTCATCGGTCATCGGCGCTCGCGAATGAAGAGCGCCTCTGCACTTCCTGCACATGTGCGGATCCTTCCGCGTTTTGGGGGTGGAAACGCTCGTTCCGAGCGTTTTTCTTCCGCCGGGTCACGTGGCTGCGCTTGTCTGGGCCTGTCACCAAGCCAGCAAGGGCGTCGGAGGGTTTGGAAAAACAAAAAAAAAGACCCTAATATTTCGCATATTACAGCACATAAGATTTTAATCAAACTCAACAATTCTCCATCCATTTTCTTATGTTCCGAAATGCAATAACAGTAATTTTCTTTGCAGTAGCATTATATGCTTTTGATTTTTTTCGAACATCCTTATGTCTTGTTCCATTCCATTTTGCCTGGCAGCTCTCTTACCGAACCAGGAATATGCAAGGAACCTCCCCACCATTGCAGAACTAGGGCCCAGTTCGGCAGCCAGGGGGAAGCAATTTTGTAGTAAGGTTATGGGAAGGTGAGGCTCGCGTCAAACCAGGGTCAACGAATTTTGACCCTGGGTTGACTGTTCCGCGGAAAGCCTGCGCCATGGGGGAGCTGGCGCAAATTGGAGGGGGGGGAATGGGAAAAGGCGCCGCAGGAGAGAGGCACATTTGGCCTCAAATGTGCTTGCCCCAGGGCACTGTAGCGGGAACAGAAAGGTTCGCCAGAAAAAAACAAAAGATTTGCGCCCCATGCTATTGGGGAAATCCAACTTTAAAAAAACGAACAATGTGTTTTTAATGTAGTAACCCTTGCCTTTGTAGGGTCCAATGTTGGCCCGTGAACAGTGAACCCAGGTGGAATAAAAAAGTTGATTCTTCTGTTTTCAAAGAATCACTTTCTTCTTCCGTCTCACTAGGGCGGAACCTTTCCGCCAAGGGGGGGAGAATAAGGACAGAAGACGGCGCGGAAGCAATGTTTGGAGGTGTTCGCGCCGCTGCTGCTAAACACCTCCGTTTCGATTTCCAGAAAGTTTACCCTACAGCCCGTACTGTTTTGCCCTCGATGATGCGATTAGAAGCCTCGAAGAAGACGGAGACATTTTTCTTCCGCCCTTCTTCCGTGGCTGCCGAACTGGGGTGCCCCAGTCAGACCTCTGTAATACCGGGAATGGAGGCTCGGAGGACCCTATGTGGTGAACCAAGCGGTGAGAAATAGGTGTGGAAGACCAGAAGTACCTCCCGGTGGAACCCGGAAGAGAGAATTACTGTAGAACCATATTCGGTGATTCCTTCTTACTCGCGTGGCCTCGAATTACTCGAGTGGCCACCAAAATTGGTGATAATTACTCGAGTGACCACGCCAGGGGATTCCCGCACGCTTTTGTTTTCCCGGCGCATTACCCTACGGGGGTTTGTAGCCCCGAATGTTTGTCTTGGTTATTGCGCGATCATTTATATCCGAATTTTATGTTCGTGACCCTATATGACCGCGCCTGACTGGACGCGCATATAATCAACTAATCATGAGCGGCCATTAATGGTCGCGAGCATCATATATTATTGCCCGATCATATATTTCATCGATCATAAACTGCAATGCCCGGGCGTCAATGCGCGGGATTTAATGACCGCGCATGATTGGTCAATTATATGCGTAGTGCCTTTTTTGGCAATGCGCGTCCAATCAGGCGCGGTCATATAATGTCACGAACATAAATTTCGGATAATGAAAATCGCGCAATAATCATTGCAAAACTTTCGGGGCTGCAAACCCCCGTAGGGTAATGCGCCGGGAAATAAATATGCGTGCGGGAATCCCCTGGCGTGGCCACTCGAGTAATTATCACCAATTTTGGTGGCCACTCGAGTAATTCGAAGCCACGCGAGTAAGAAGGAATCGCCGAACATGGTTCTACAGTAATTCTCTCAACTCGGAAACCTTGACCGGAGGTCTGATTGGAGCTCCAAACCAATTGCACCCAGGTTCGGTAGTGGTTGTGATCGTTGTGAGGTGATCCATCATCGTGTGGTAGGATGAACTCGGCAGACCATATATGATTGAGCATCTAAAGCATGACCATCACTCTCCAGTCTCAAACTCGTGTTGTCAGAAAGGCAGTTGAGAGTTGGCTGGAGTAGACGCATTCCTGAGCTTCCGTCATAGCTCCTAGCCGAGTATGTTGTTACCCGTCGCATAAATGTTATTTTAAGAATAATAAAACATAGCGGTTGCCTTGGACATGCGTGTGCGTTTCAGTCTACAGAACTCCGTCATAGCAGACTATTCCTGGTTTAAAAGCTAATTGACCCTGCTTTCGCATTTTTAATTGTATCCATGGGTTGCGTGTCGTCGCGAGATGCTTCGCATGAGTCAGGACTCCCCAAAAGCAAACTATCTCAGCGTACGTTGCATCACTTACGGAGGAGCTTCTTGATTTCTTTCTGTTCTCTTGTCTGTTCCTTATTATTCTAGCTATATGCCGACGTCTTAGCACATTGTCTGAGTGATACGCCTTTGAGCCTTATTTCATTCGCAGGCATTCCGTTTACGTCGTTTAATTTTATATCCCACGTTTGATTGTCAATCTCTTTCTGTTTTTAATCAGTTCACAATCTTGTTCAATACAATCTTCCTCACCTCACCTCCTCCTCACAATCTTGTTCAATACAATCATCTTCCTCAGAAAAAGAAGCTGCCGGCTCAGCATTGGTCGCACCACAGCAGACTTCTCCGTCCACGGAACCACCCAAAGCCGAACTATCTAGAGCTGAGCCACCAACGGGACTTGCGCCGGACGCACGAGGAGCATCAGGAGAGGCGACAGGAGCTTCGGGAACAGCCGGAGCATCAGGAACCTCGGTAGTATCAGGAGCCTCGGGAGCACCAGGACCCTCGGCAGTATCAGATACTTCGGGAGTGTCAGGAGCTTCGGGAGTGTCAGGAGTCCCGGGAGTACCTGGAGCCTCTAAAACATCAGAAGCCTCGGGAGACCCAGGAGTATCAGGAGCCTCGGGAGTGTCAGGACCCCCTGGAGTATTAGGAGCTTCGGGAGTATCAGGAGTGTCGGCAGTATCAGGAACATCGGGAGTATCCGGAGTCTCTGGAGTGTCGGGAACCTCGGGAAGCTCCGGCAGCCTGCTCGGCTCCGGAGGCGCCGGGTCGTCCACAGGCAGCGGGGGACGCGGCCGTTCATTGGAGCCGCCTGCGGATCTCACCATCCCACGGCTGACAGAGGACGAGATCAAATGCGTGACTCGCAATTTTTCCACCGTGCTGGGCGAGGGTGGTTTTGGGAAGGTGTATAAAGGCGAGATGCGGCCGTGTGGTGCTAGCCCCAACGGCACCTGCAGATGCCCCCAGGAGTCCCGCGACGGAGGAGGAGGCGCTTCGGGTGAAGGGAGTGCGGGTGGTGAGGGCGAGGGAGGAGGGAGGTCGAAGTCTGGTGCCGGTGGGATGGTTGAGAGGGACGCTGGTGGTTGCAAGCCGATTCCTGTTGCGGTGAAGGTTCTTGCGCCGCACAGCTTTCAGGGCGATTACGAGTTTATGGTACGTTGCCTGGCTCTCTGTGCTCGCAGCTCGCTGTGCTCTTGCCTTTTCATCTCAAACCGTTCCGCCTCGCCCTTGCTCTCTTCGTCACTCCTTCATACCCAGCTACCGTGTTCCCCTCTTTTCCGCCCTCCCTCCCTCCCATTCCCCCCACTTTCTACCTCCATCCATCTATCAATCTCCATCCATCTAGCTTCATCCCTCTATCTCTATCCATCTCCCACCATCCATCTACCGTCATCCGTCCTCACCTCCCTCCCTCCTCCCTTCACAGACGGAGCTAGTGACGTTTGGGGCGGTGAGGCACGGCAACATAGTGGAGCTGCTGGCGTACTCGCCGCACCCCAGCAAGGCGCTCGTCTACGAGTACATGCCCAACGGGGACGTGCACGCCCTGCTCGCCCGCTGTGAGGCCCCGCACTCACCCTCCCACCCACCCATTCACCCACGTGTGTCTCTAAGTTGACTCAAAATGTGCTCTTGCACTCGCTGCTCGCCAGTTTCCACTCCCTGCACGCTCGTGGGTGCCATAATTTTTTTTTATCATGTGTGTGTCGTGCTGCTCTGGGGTGCGTGGGTGGGTGGGTGGCATTGGCAGGCAAGAAGGGGGAGGCGACGTTCCCATGGGCGGTGAGGCTGAAGGTGGCGCACGAGGTGGCGCAGGCAGTGGCGTTCATGCACTCGCTGCGCTACATCCACCGCGACCTCAAGGCCAGCAACGTGCTGCTCACCCAGGTGGGTTGGTGTGCTGCTTTCTAGGGGCTTTAAACATATAGACGCTTAAAGGGTATAAGGCGCATCAAGGGCAGGCAGTGGCGTTCATGCACTCGCTGTGCTACATCCACCGCGATCTCAAGGCCAGCAATGTGCTGCTCACTCAGGTGGGTGGGTGTGCTGCTCGCTCAGGTGGGTGTGCTTCTCGCACAAGTCATACTGCTCGCATAGGCAACCAAGTCTTGACTTAAGCGTGGTGTGTAATCAAATTATTCTCGGCAACTTGCGACATTTCGTTGATGGCAACCTTGTCTGTCCTCCTTCCTCCCTCCCCCTGGCAGGACTTCACGGCCAAGGTGGCGGACTTTGGGCTGGCCAAGGGCATAGCGGACTGGCGCTCACACGTCACAACGAGAGTCGTGGGCTCCTTTGGCTACATGGACCCCATGTACTACCTCTCAGGTACATTTTAACGTCTCAAACGTTGTGAGTCCTGAGACAGTGTAGATGAGATAGGAAATGAGCACTTGCACCCCATGCACCCATGCACCCCATGCACCCATGCACCCATGCACCCCATGCACCCCATGCACCCATGCACCCATGCACACCATGCACCCATGCACCCCATGCACCCATGCACCCCGTGCATCCCTCATGGACTCCGTGCACTACCTCATCCATCCTTTCCACTTGCTTCACCCCGTGTTCCCCACTTCTCCTCGTCAGGCCACGTGCACGCCAAGAGCGACGTGTACGCGTTTGGAGTCTTCCTAGTCGAGCTTCTGACCGGGAAATCCGTTCTCCAAGACAGCATTCACGAGGACCTGATCCCCACGCTGCTGCACCACGACCACCCCGACCTCGCCCTCCTCGTCGACCCCGCCATCGCCCCCGAGTGCCGCCGCAAGGACGCCCTCGCCGTCGCTTACATCGCCAAGTACGCGCTCATCAAGGAGTGGGATGCACGGCCCAGCATGCAGTCGGTGGCGCAGAAGATCGGGAATGTGGTCAAGTGGCAGAAGTCCCGAGCTGAAGCTGCTGCTGCGGCGGAGGCGGGAGGGGAAGCTGGGGATGGGGCGGCAGGGGGAGGGGAGGCAGGGGGAGGGGAAGGAAATGGGGTAATTGCGGAAGGGGCGAAGGGAGGGACAAATGGAGCTGCTGAAACTCCTGGTGCTGCTGCTGCGGCGGAAATTCAGAGTATTGCTTGAAGTGGTGACTGTGCTGCTTGGACAAAACATTGAGCGCTGTTTTGGGTTGAGTAGCCACCAAGTTACTGCTGTGTGTGTGTGCCTTTGACTGAGCATAGAGCAGACAGCTGCTGGTGCAGGCCGATAGAGCTAGTGAGCAACACACAGGCCCTGCAGCTGCCATCAGCCCCGCAGAGGTGGTGCAATGTGTGTGATGGTGTCATCTTATCTGACATTCATCCACTTCAACTAGAGTAAAGAAACAAACACCAGATAAGCACATGAGTGTGAGCCAGGGGAACACTCTAGTTCTCCTCATAATGTGTCACAACAATTTGTTAGTTGCTATCCAGTTTGTGTTGCAGTGTGCAACCAGTGTTTTCAGCCTACCTTAATATGGAGAGCATGTTGTAGTAAGCAATAGCAGCCAAAGAGCCATGTTTCATAAACAGTGTATTACCGTACCTGGCCTTGAAAATAACAAGTTGAGCTTGTGCATTATCCTGGTTCTCAAACAGGGAAGTACCATATGGCCAGCCCATTTTCCATTTCTGAATGAGCTAGCTAGTTACCACCCTTGCAACTCTGTGGCAGCCCAAGCACACAGCGAAGTTCACATCACACATCCTGCCATGTGACCTTCATGTACCCATATCTGCTATCCGATTCGCCTATTCCAAGAGCTTGCCACACAGCAGCAGACGCATCAACATCGTTGATGATGCAGGGAGGCTGCCCCGCGTGCATGCGGTCGCACCCCGCCCGCGAGTCACACTCGTCCACCACGGTCGCGAGCACGCTGCGGCCGTTGGATGCGGAGATCCGGATCTGACGGCCACAGCGCCTCCGATTGGCGAACCAGCCGGTGGAGAGAGCGACGACCCTCTCGGTGTTGCTGTGGAATCGTCCGTCACAGGATGACTCGCCTCCTCCATCCTGGCCTGGCGTTGAGTCAAAGGGAGAGAGAAAGGAGAGGGTGATGAGCGACGGAGAAATTGGTGCTGGGAATGGGGGGGTGGGGGAGGGGGGATGAACGTGCACTAAATCTTCCACTGCTACTGGGGTGTATCCATCATTCACGATTCGTGGATTGACAGGGGGGCATGGTGATTAGTAATTACCATCACCAAATCCGTTGAGAGTGAGGATTGCTGACGTGGCATGGCTGACAGGTGGCGAGCACGTGTACTTGTAGTACTTGGAAAGTGGCTTGCAGCAGTCGGACCTGCACATGAACACACAGATTTCAGTTATAAGGTAATTACACCGCACAAAAGGGATTAATTTGACATGTAACAAAACCACAAGTGTGCGATATACCACTGAGAAGCATGACGTCTCACATGTTATCCGAGTTACAGGGGACGGACGCAGGCGCTCGGAAGCTTCCCGACGGCTTGCAGGTTCCCCCCCCTTGTGGCTTGCAGATCTTTGTTCCCACGGCGGGGTCATCCCCGCACTTGCCGCTCATGCACGCCAGTCGCCCGCTGCAGTCATCGTGGCTGCTGCAGCTCCCTCCGCATCCTTGCTGCGCGTCGACGCTGCTTATAACGAGTACGGCTGATGATACCAGGACGAGGAGAATGTGGATTGAAGAGTGCAGTCGGAACGCGATCGCCATTTTTCAAGAAAGAACGTGGAAGCGCGAAACGTGCGGTGTAAAATTATACGTCCGATCCAGCTTTTGAATGAAGGCACGAGATGCGGAAGGAGAGGCGTGAGAACCAAGGAGGTGGTTACGGTGGTACTGGACATTGCAATCACTACTACGCTCGCCATTTTATTCTACTCTACTACTGTCACTAGCAGGAGGTATTGCACAGCCAGGACTCAGAAGGTCACGGAAGCATGTCGTGCGCGTGACGTTTCAAAAACGGCAACACACAACACAGCAACAATAATTTCTAGGAGGGAGTCGGGACGGGACCAGCAATGCGATCATGCGACGCTTTGGCGAGTATGACGGCGACTCACAGCAGCAACAATAATTTCAGCAGTTGTGAGTTTCAGCTTTCCCCTCTTCGTAATGAGGGCGTGTCAGGCTTGGTTGACTTTCCGTTCAATTCAAACGGTTGATAACGATGTTGTACGCTTTAGAGCGGTTTGTCAATTGCACCGGTTTGAACCGCTAATTACCAGCCTTAACACTGATAGTGAGCTTTTGGCCTGTGATGGTTTCGAATCGGACTGACAGCCGGATGAAGAAAGGCACCCAACCAAACCGGACTAGAGTGATTCGGCAATTTCCATACCGATCAAACTTGCTCATCCAGGTCACCGCAGTGCAGCTCAGACCGCCAAAATTCACTGCCGTACCCAAACCCCCGCACCTTGTACGGCACTTGACGTAGGCAAGCTCCGAGTGTGCAATTGTAATGATCCTCAAAAATCACGCTATATATATATATATATATATTATCAACAAGCGATCAGAGTGCATCGTACCAAACCATGCATCACACTTAAGGTATAAAGTACTTCGGGCCATACGGGGAGATGGGAGCAGGTGGCTCCGGCATGCCCACAGCCCGTTCTGGAGATCATGAAGCACAAAAATGAGGTCCGCTGCTAGCCGGGCAGAAAGGGCTTCAAGAAAGTCCACAACAAATGAAGAAAATTGTTCCTCCAATGAGTGTTCAAGATCAGTGTGCTCTGTTGTGAGTTGCAATATCCAAATATCAAGTGATGTGTCCACTGCCAAGTGATGTGGGGGATGGGAACTGTCAAATGTTAATGTTATGATAGGCTGCAGTGAGGCACTCCCTAGAGGGTACAACATTTGTAGGACTCCTATTTGTATGCTTGCAAACCCTAATCCCAATCATTCCGTTGCATGTAGATTCTGAGATGGTATCACGAGTAGGTATCGATCCTCCCTCCCCGCCCTAGCCGGCGCGCCCTCCGTTCCGCGCCCTCGCGCCCTCCGTAGCGCCTAGCGCCCTCCGCGCCCTCCGTCACGCCTAGCGCCCTCCGCGCTTTTGGCGCCCTCGCGCCCCTTAGCGCGGCCCTCAGCCCGCCCCACGTCGCGCCCCTTAGTGCGCCCCTCGGCCCGCCCCTCCGTGCCCTCCGCGCCCTCCGCACGTTCGTGCCCTCCGCGCCCTCCGCACGTTAGTACCCTCCGCACCCTCCACGCCCTCCCCCTGCCCGTCGCGCCCTCCCCCCTGACCGTCGCGCCCTCCCCCTGCCCGTCGCGCCCTCCCCCTGCCCGTTGCGCCCTCCCCCTCCCCGTCGCGTCGCCACCCCTCCCCTTCCCCTCCCCGTCGCGTCGCCTCCCCTCCTCCTGCCCGTCGCGTTCGCCTCCCCTCCTCCTGCCCGTCGCGTCGCCTCCCGTCCCCCTGCCCGTCGCGTCGCCTCCCCTCCTCCTGCCCGTCGCGTTCGCCTCCCGTCCCCCTGCCCGTCGCGTCGCCTCCCGTCCCCCTGCCCGTCGCGTCGCCTCCCCTCCTCCTGCCCGTCGCGTTCGCCTTCCCTTCCCCTGCCCGTCGCGTCGCCTCCCTTCCCCCTGCCCGTCGCGTCGCCCTCCCCTCCCAATCTCGTCGCCCTCCCTTGCCCGTCGCGTCAACCTCCCCTCCCCGCCCATTTCCCACCGTCAGATCCTCCTCCCGCCCATTTTCACCGTCGCATTCGGCCTCCCCGCCCCTCTCTCACTGTTCATCACCTTAGCCCCACCACCGCCTTGTGCGCGGGGCCCTCCCCAGCTCTGCTGACACTGGTCTATCCCTCAGCGGCTGGCAGCCGCTCTCTCTCGCCGGTCACCTAGGTTAGAGCCGTTTTAGCCGCTCATACCTCGCTCCTCGCACCTGTAGCTGGCGATCCACGATTTCACGCCTAGTCTAGGTCGCTCGGTACTCCTAGTCTCTCGCTCCGCCGCTTTCTCTCCTGGCGCTCCGTAGTTTTCCTCCTCGTTCTTAGCTCCGCCTCCGCCGTGCTCCAGCCGCCTCTAGCATGGGCTCCGCTATGGAGGCCCGTCGCCTCCGTTTCGATGCGGAGGGACGCCCAATCGAGTTCGGTACCTGGCAGCGCCAGACCACACGCTTCCTCACCAGCCAGCGACAGGACGGCGCCACTCTGTGGGCTCACGCGTCTGGTGCCCTACAGGCCCCCCCGTCCCCCGCCGCCCTGCCGACCACCCCGGAGCCGACCCCTACGGCACAGGCGGACTACGACCGTCGGGTCCTGGCCAGGGACGTGTGGCTCTCGCGTGACGCAGCCGCCGCTCTCACTCTGTCGGAGCTTCTCCCCCCGACTGAGGCTGCCCACTTTGACCAGGTGGAGACTGCACAGGGGGTTTGGGAGGCTATTGTTGCTCGCTACTCCACCCCCTCCTCTGCCTCCCTCAGTCGCCTCCTCATGCCGTTTGTGTTTCCCGACCTAGGCTCGTTTGCGACTGTTTCCGACCTAGTGACTCACCTCCGCTCGCTTGATGCCGGTTTCCGCGCTGCCTGTACCGACGCACAGCTTCTAGTTCCTCCCCCCCCCATGTGGCTCACTGTTCACTGGTTAGTCACCCGCCTCCCTGACCGCCTTGCCACTGCCCGCGACGCGCTTCTTCAGAAGCACCCCACTGAGCTCACTATCGACCTCCTAGCGACTGCTCTAGGGACCATCGAGAGCAGTCTCCTCACCTGATGCGGTGGCCCCCCGTCTCTTTGCGGGGTGTACCGCCCCTCAGCTTCCCACTTTCACCGCTACCCGCGCCTCTGCTGCTGTGTCGGTCTCTGAGGACACTGCTGCCGTTTCTGCCGCAGACTGGCAGAAACGGGGCAAGAGCGGCAAGAAGGGCGGGAAGGGGGGGGGGTGGGGGCGGAGGCGGCGGCGGTGGAGGGGGCGGTGGAGGAGGCGGTGGAGGTAGGAGCGGCGGCGGTGGTGCACCGGGAGGAGGGGGCCCTGGAGCGGGCGCCGGACAGCCGGGCCCTCCCACTGGTGGAGGCCCACAGCAGCAGCAGCCACAGCGGTACCCACAGCAGCACCCGCCACAGCAGGGACAGCAGCAGCAGCAGGGACCGCAGCAGCAGCAGGCACCCCAGCAGTGGGGGCCCCCGCTGCAGTGGGGTCCGCAGCAGCACTGGGGTCCCCCGCCGCAGTGGGGTCCGGGAGGCCCTGGGAGCACCGGCCGCAGCAGCAGCTCTACCAGCTGGGCCCCTCGCCCCCCTCGCCGTGACCCTGGCCCCTGCACCCACTGGTGCCTCACCGGGCCGGGCAGCCCCTGTTTCTGTGGTCGCGACGACCACTCTGCTGCGCGGTGCTTCCGCCGCCTCGACGACCTCTACCGGGCTCGTTGGGGCCCTCTGGCGGTCACGCCTCGCTGGTCTCGTCTGTTAGCCCGTAAGATTGATGTCTTTGATCTGTCCATGGACGATGCGCGTCAGCATGCTTTGTATGTTGATGCTGACTTTAGTGCTGATGGATCTGTGTGCTCGCGTGTTCGTAGGTTAGCCTGCTTGCCTCCTGCTAGTGTAGCCTTGTGCCTGTCTAGCTTAGGTGCTTGTGTTGCTGCTCTAGGTGCTTGTGTAGCGACTGTGTCAGGTGACCCGCCGGCTGAGGCCTCTCTGTCGTTCACGCTGGACTCGGGCGCGTCTCAGTGCTTCTTCCGCGACCACACGACCCTTACACCACTCCTCACACCTGTGTCGGTGGCTCTGGCTGATCCTACCTCTGGACCAGCCGTTGCGCGTAGCTCCACCACCCTCCCGTGCCCTGTGGTCCCCTCTGGTGTCCTGCGCGGCCTCCACATCCCCTCGTTCACTCGGAACTTGGTGGGTGTTGGATACCTCCAGGACAGGGGGATCACGGTTACCTTCGTGGGGGGTGGGCGGACTGCAGTCTTTACAGACGCTACCACAGGTGCTGTTCTGGCTACGTTCACCAGGGAGCCCCGCTCCGGTCTCTACGTTCTCCACACCGAGCGCTCCCCGGTCGCGTCCTCCCCTCAGGTCGTTGCGTCCCCTCCAGCCCAGGTCCCCAGTCCAGTTGCTGTGTCTAGCCAGGTAGTAGTGTCCGGTCCGGTCGCTGTGCCCAGTCCAGTCGCGGCGTCTTGCTCCTGTCGCTCTCTCACCCACCGCACCGTCCTGTGGCACCACCGCCTTGGCCACCCGTCGCTCCCTCGCCTACGTGGCATGCTCAGTCAGGGACTTGTCTCAGGTCTCCCACGCACCTTCCCGTCGCTCCCTCTCTCGCTTGCCCCTCCTTGCTCTCCGTGCGTCGCCGGTCGCTTACGCGCCACTCCCCACTCCTCCTCCCTTCGTCCGGCCACCGCTCCCTTCGAGACTCTCCACTTGGACGTCTGGGGCCCTGCCCCGACGCAGGGGTCTGGGAGGGAGCGTTACTTTCTGGTGGTCGTTGACGACTTCTCCAGGTACACCACAGTGTTCCCTCTTGCGAAGAAGTCCGAGGTGACTGCTACGCTGATCAGGTGGCTTCTAGCCACTGAGGGCACTCGTGGTCGTCGAGTCAGTTGTCTCCACTCCGACCGTGGGGGCGAGTTTTGCTCCGGCATTCTCGGCGGATTCTGCGGCGAACAGGGCATCACCCAGTCCCGGACGCTGCCAGAGTCCCCACAGCAGAATGGGGTTGCTGAGCGCCGCATAGGCTTGGTCATGGACATCGCTCGCACGTCCATGATCC